AATTTATTTTTAATAAATTTTAATACATTTTTTGTCGCATTTAGGCGACACACATCGACACGGTGTCAGACACGGTGCTTTCCAACAATGACACGCCACGGCACGGTTCGACACAGCAGAAGAGCATAGTTGAACACAGAGTCTAGTTCATGGCTGCCAATTTTTGGGATGGTATTCTAGAGAATTTTCATTTTATCCATTTGCAAAATATATTTATACTTATCGCGATCGTAAACAATAATAAATGATGGTTATGTTGATTTGTACGTACTTTAAATATGCCAATATGCTCCTGGTACGCCAATTTTTCAATTAAATGAACTTACTAGATATCATGGGAAGACATAAGCAGACTTTAGCGGTCTAGTTTAGAACTAAACGCGTTCCATCAAGTATCTAAGCACGGTGTTTGACCGTGTCACACAGTCGATCTGTGTCTCCTGATGATGGGGTGTTTTCCAACTATAACACGCTAAATTGCACTGTGTTACACCGTGTGAAACTTTTGTTGGACCGATAAAGTGTAAATCTAATTTCTGAAAATCTCAGTAAAGGGCATTATAATTCTCTATTTTTATTACTAGGAGGGATTGACTTTATTGTAATTATTGTAACAACGAAATTAGAAGAGATTGACATTATTGTAATAACAAAAATTATTGTAATTAATTTTTATAGTTAACCAAATTTTGAATGAGGATATATTTTGATTAAATTTTGTTTTAATTTTACTTTTATGTGAATTGCAGATGATGAATCGTAAGGTTATATTTACTTTGACTGGAACTGCTGAGATAAGTGATAGTGATAGTGATACTTCAATAAGCAGTAATGTTAGCAAAATGATCCAATGAAGCAATTGCGTTGTTACAATGTTTGCACGTGAATTCTGAAAAATATAATAAAATATGTAACAAATGTTTTATTGATAATAATAAGTAATAAAATTTGTATTGCATATTTTTTATTGTATTTTTTAATGTTTTATTTTACCATTAACTTCCAAAATATGATCTATTGAGATTAAATCTATAGAGATAGAGTTTCACAATTTGCAATCTTGTATTCTCGCTCTCTCGTATCGTTGTATTATTACATTTATAGGTTATAATCAAAAGTATTACCATCATTTAAAATTATAAGATTTCTTAAAATGTTGGTAACACTGGGACATTTTACACGCTTGTACTTAGCTTTTTATTGTGTCGAGCAGTGTAACATGGTGTCACTGTTGGAATAGTTCGTGTTGAACACAGTGTCACACTGTGTCATCTGTGTGACTTGTTGGAAAACACCCATGGAAAGCTCCCATTGAGGATAGAAATAGTTATATATAATAAGGCTTTCTCTCGCAAAGAATTTTGACATTATTTATCTGCAAACTTAATGTTAGTTACATAAATATTAATATCGATTATTTTCACTTTATATAATTCTATAAAATAGTTTTATAATATTTCTTTCTTATAAATTTAATATTAAAATAATATAAAAAAACATTATAACAACACAAAATCTTTATCATTATAATGTTATTTTAAACATAAGATTTCATCAAATTAAAACTATTGTAACTATGTTGAACTTGCAGCAAATAGAAGTGTTAAAATAACATTGTAAACAAAATTTTAAATAATGTTTTAAAAATATTTCTCTGATATTTAAGAAAACTATATTATAAAATAATATATTTAAAATATGTATACATTATATCTAAATATTATAAAAATTTACATAAAATTAATATTTTAAAACATTGATTTAATGTTTCTTGCTTACTGGGAAGTTATATGACATATGACATATACATTTATTATAAAAATATATACAATATACAAAATGGTATTAACTTTTTACATAGATACTTTGATGTGAATATACATACATAATATGAAGCACATAATATACATAATATATACACATGAAGCACATGAATAAAAGTATTTTACAGAAATTAGAATATGAATGTATGTAACTAAATAATGTAAATGTTTGCAAAAATATTGCAAAATTTATGTATAATACATACACTTTTTTATCCTTCAGAGTGCCTTCAACCCATTTTTTCAGCCAGGTTTTGTAGCACATAACACATACACACACACACACACACAACTAACACACACATAACTAACCTAAAAGATTCTGATGTATATGACAGATAGCACTGAGAACTGTATAGCGCCTCTATCCCAAAATCCCGGAACTAATCTATAGCTCTTTTTATCTTATTCTTTCTATATTGCACGCATGCTTTGCATAAATCTGAAAAAGTATGGCTTTTTAAAAATAAGTCTCTAAGCTCTTATTTTTTTGGTTTTCCATTATTGTTTCATTGTTTCCATTATTACGTTTTTCTTCAGCTCCTGGTCTTGTTTTGCAGATTAAAGCAGTATAATTTTGATATAAAAGGTATAATTCTTTGAGGTGAGATTGTAAGTAAATTTAAAAATTTTTTTTTTTTTAATTTGACCAGCAGCCAAAAGATTAGCATGTGTACTTTATTTACACAAAAGAATTTGTAATTCTATCAAAGCAATAAAAAAAGCAATATTTTTTAGAAAATTGAAAAAACAGGTCGGTAAAGTAGTACTTCAGCATCCTCTTAATTGGCAAATTTAAAAAGAATGCTAGAGTGGTCTGTTTTACCGGCCAAATATTATATTTTTTTGCACAAAAATATCTTTTTGTTGGTTGCATAGAATTGTAAATCTTCTTGCAGGATTAAAGTGTACACAAAATCGGAGTGCTCGACTTTATTCGGAAAAAAATTAATTACAAAATTAATTTCTATTCTGCTCTTAGGATAACATATTATATAGGGCTATCTATTTTCGTTTTTTATAAAAATTCAGCAATTTTAAGACGCTGAATAAGTACATCCCAAATTGCGGATTGCAGAATAGAATGTCATGGAACCATTAAAATTGGGCTGAAAAGTCTAATGTAAAAGATATTTCTGTCCGATTATCTATATACGTGCGCGTCCGGTATCGGTATAACAGACGAAAAAACAGCAAGAAATTAGTTCCCGGATAATATCAAAGAGGCGCTACATAGCATACATACACGAATACTCAACTGTATGCGTATAAGCCGCGTTTGCCGTTTAACCTGTTGTAACGTTGACACTTTCCGTATCTGTCAAAAAAACTGAAAAATAATAATACGGTTAATAGCACGTAAAATACTCTAATAAAAAAAAGACATTTTCCGTAGTACACTTTTTTTATACAGTGTACGTTTTTTTTTGCGCATGTGCTTTTATATGAAAATATTTATATAGTGTCCAGTGTTTGTGCTGTGCAGTATATATGTCAACAGACACTAAAAATGCTAAAAAGGTCAGTTATTGTTTTTTGTAATTTTGGAATTGTTTCAATGTCAGTTAATATCTAATAATTCCTATCAGTACATACTGATTCTCCATATGTGAGAACAATGTACTAAAATTTTCGTACACTTTAAGTATCTCGAACCAGAGATCGGTGTACAAATTTAACTGTCTCACGTAGACTAACAAATTAATTTCTTTAAGAAAAATTATAATTTCGCACTAACATCCCGCGACGGCTCTCTATGCCTTTCTATTATATTAATTGATTGTTATCATTTGAGCCATTCCTTTATATGTGTTAAAATTGTTTTCAATTAATATTACTTTCTATTTATCAATAAGAGTCTTTATTATCAATATGATTTTGAAACAATTGCCAAATAAGTAAAGCCAAAGGCAATCTACTCGTGGACTGAAGTTTTAATAAATATAGTCAGAGGCGAGATCTAACGTCAGCTGGCAAATTTTTATAAGTGAAGTCAGAGACGATCTAACGTAAGCTGACAATTTAGAATAAATAATGCCAGAGGCGATTTATCCGTAAGCTGACAATTTTTTATAAATGAAGTCAGAGGCGATCTAACGTGAGCTGACAATTTAGAATAAATAATGCCAGAGGCGATTTATCCGTAGGCTGGTAATTTTTTATAAACTTACGTGGTGTAGGTCCGCTACGTCGATAATATCAATCTCATTTTTAGTTCTATCGAAATGATGGCGCTTTCGCGTCAAAGTTTGTCAGACTCCAGCATTTTCTTAAATGCTTCTCTGTTAAAACCTATTATAGCATCGACATTTTGGTTAGGATTTTCATGTCAAAATAAATCAAGAATGTGCCATTTTTGTACGATGTGGGTCACCCTGTATAAAATTAACAAAATAATATAAGTTACATTTAGCTATAAGCAAATATATTTAACTACAAGCAAGTCAAAAGTAAACTGAAAAAAATTGGGTAATTATTCACATTAGGTTACATCTCACCGTTTCTTCTGCTGTTGAAATATGCT